AAGATCGCTCGAGTGTAAAGTAAGAGAACTTGAAAAAGAAGTTAAGTTACTAAAAGGTCTAATTATTGAAATAGATTCTACTAGACTTGTAAAAACTAGAAATAGCAATAATAAAGAATCACTAAAGAAAGTTGATGATAAAGATGGCCAGAATGAGAACGGCAACTATACGATTCGTGATCATGAACATAATAGCAATTATCATGATAATAGTGCTGGTGTTGGTTCTAGTTCTGGAACTAATCTTGGTTTCAGTATTAATGATACTGATGTTGGTGATGGTAGAAGTAATCAATAATCAAAATGATTGATTGATCGCACGATCTTTTTAATTTTTATTTAACTTTTTTTTACAATATTCACATTCCCTAAATTTTTTTAAAAAATTTTTACTAATTACTAAACGATTTATACGATATATACATAATATAGCAATAAGATTTGATTTTATCTTTTGTTATATATTTATAAAATATTAATGTATGCATAATAATTTTGATGTAAATTAAGTTATTTTATTCTTATAATTTTCGTTATCTCGTCGGCTTTATTTTTTACATTATTCGAAGAAATTTTATTATCGATACACTCCCCTCTCCCGGTGGACAAAAATCAGAAGAAATAAAAATGACGTGGAAGAAAACATATGTATTTATTTATGTCATTTATTTATATAGAAAATCAACTTTCGTAAAAAATTTTTTTTTTTTGTATTTAAAATAAGAAAACATCATCAAATTAAGAAAAAATTGTGATGATTAATAGTCTCACTATTAAGATAAGTTTTAAATTGTTATTATCAACACATTCAAAAAATAAAAAATTTCCATATAGTAAAATAATAATAATTAATAATGGCTCTTTAAAAAAATTATTTATAATTGAAATGTCATCAGCAGCTTATAGATCAAGAATTAACTCCAACATTATAAATGAATTCGAATTCTGGTACAATTGCTAAAATTTGCATTCATGATTACAATTCTTAAACACTTTTGGCTTGTAAACAAAAGGTTCCAACAAGAAAACGCTCCCATAAAAAAATTCATTGATTATTCATGCGCACTTTAATTATCTAATACTATCACTGCCAATATTAGATAAATTTCTTATTATCATTATTATTTTATTATTTTCTTTATTTTTACTATGTAGAAATTATGTTATATGATGTTCACGTGTAAGTCACGGGGTGCATTTAGAGATGTGGTTGCGCACTTATGGAGAGTGCGCACTTATGGAGGAGAATGCATTTGTAAATGGTTGACTGTATACATATTTATATATTCTCGAGTGAACCTGAAACCTTTTCTTGGTCAACCCCACAAAAATCACTTCATATTCATCAACCTTGGTTCCGTTATTTGTTCAACTAATGATTTGATGTAACGAAATCAGTAAAAATAGTACACCATATTATTTGAATTTTTCCATTAATCTTACCTCTTTATTTATTTACACTAAAGAAAACAATATTAATAATATGTACAAATTTGGTTATATTAATCTATGTGGATTTGATTGGCTAATTTTAATATAAATATATCGAAAATTAAAGGTTTTTATTAATAAAAAATGGAAGAAAATAATAACTTTAACTCAAATGATAATGGTGTTGTAATAAAAATTGATGAAAATGATAATTCCACAACAACGGTCACAAATAAGATTATTGAGCTAATTGATCCACATAATGGATGTCATATTGATCAAATAAAATATAGTCCTAATTTAAAGTTTTTAGTAACTCATAGTAAGGAAGATTTATCTATTGTTGGATGGACAGTTGATATTGACAATGGAACTATCCAGCAAGATAAAGATAATTGCTTTAAATATTCCAAAGATGATTTTGAAAACAAAAAAGATGATTCCATTAATGTTTTTATAAAAGAAGTTTCTGATGGCAAATATATAATTTTATATAATGAGATTGATGAGTTCAGAAGAGTTATTAGTAAGCAATGATTAATTAATTGACATGTGTATTTATTATTATAACAACTAAATAATAAAAATATTTAGTCATTTAAATTAACTTTTTAGAATTTCTTGACTTTACAAAAAAAAATTACATTGACTTTAATGGTAAGATATACAATGGATATGATGATGGATCTTTTATTACAAATAATGATTTGCTAATGATTAATTATTATAATGAGTGTTTATACAATTATTCATATGTGAGTGATGATGACAATGATACAAATGATAAATTGGTTCATAAATCTACATATTATTGTGATTACAATTTATGTAACTTCTGGTCTAGTTTTCATGTAAATTCTGGCAATCTTCTAATTGGTCCTATGGATTCATTTATATCACAATGGAAGGGTGTAACAATGTCATATCAAGATAATTATTATTTAGTAGTTGGATATGGTGTTAGTATTATATTTAATAAAGATAAAACAATAATGGCAGTATATTATAGGTATGATTCAACATTAGTTGTATATTCATTAAAAAATAATATTATTATTTCTGCAAGTAAGTATTTATATATTCTTATTATTTGCACATTATATTAATTTATAATTTAATAAATATATTTTCTATCTTGCAGCCAAATTGGGAAATGATATTGATATGAAAAAACATGATTTTATTTATCCAACAAATCAATTAGAATATTTATTAGTAATATATTATCATAAAAAGACAAAAAATTATAATTATAAGTTAATGGATCTTTATAATCTTGATGATTTTATGGATATTACAGAGTATTTTACAAATGAAAATGAAAGTGGAAAAAGGATTTTATTTGGACCAATTTTACCACACGGTAAAATAGCCATAGTTATAGGCAATCAATTATACATTAAAGAAATAATCAACAAAGAAAATTTAGATAGTATTCAACAAAAAATATATTCAAAAAATCAACACCATTTACATGTATTGCAAACATCACAAGAAATATTCGAAATGCCCAAGTTTCCTGAAAGACCAACAGAATTTACCATAGAAACTGGAAAATCAATTAAATGGTTAATAGAATATGATAATGAATTTAAAAATATTAATATAAAAGCCCAAAAAGTTAATGATGTAATGGAAAAAGAATTATCAACAATTGATGAGTATGGTCTCAGAAGTTATATTAAATTTAGTTATTGTAAATTATTAAATAATGATGATTTAATTTTACATACAAATTATCATATATACATTTTATCAGTTAGCAACAAAAATATCAAAATATTTACAAAATTTGTTAAACATGATTATTATACAGTGGAAAGTATTAAATCAGCTATTACAAAGAATGCAATTGAAGATTATTTATTTGATTTCAATAATATTGAATATTATAATGATTCATATATTGATAAGCATCAAATTTCTAGACAACCTTATAAAGAAATGTTAGATGTGATGCTCAATGAGTTTTATTATTTCAACAAATTTGGAAAGGAAATATTAAAAACAGCATTAAATAAGAATAATAGTATTGTAATAGGAAAAGTATATGATTCTTGCCTTAATTATTTTGTAAAAGATACTAATTTAAATATTAGTTTATTAAAAATAATTATATTAGAATTACCAAGATTAGAAAAAAAACATTATACTTTAATATCAAAATTCTTTAGTCAGACTTCAATGATATTATTTCCATTTGAAAATTCTTACAGTATTGATACTTTTTATAATGCTATGGATATTGAAAAATCAATTTATAAAGAAAAAAGCTTTTGGGATTTTTATTATAATCATAATTATATTAGAAAATTTATAAAATTTATAAATAAAAAATTAAACAACAAATCTGAAAAACCAGGTGTAAAATTGGCAATTCCATATCCTGGATTACTTACTTACAACAATGAATATTCATTTTGGAAAGAATTGTTATATAAGCCATTAAATAGCAAATTTATTGAATTAGATACTTTAGAATTGTATAAACATTGGAATGGAAAAGTAATCTTGGATTTCAAGTGGAATAATTTTGGATTCAAATATTACTTTGGAATTTGGTTTTTTTATACAGCATTTTTATTATGCTTTTCAATTGCAACCTCTATTTCACCAGGTCAATTATCTGATGAAAATAGAAATTCATTACTAATTACTACAATAATTCTTGGGTTGTTACATTTTAGTTTTGAAGTGAGACAATTTACTTGGAACCCAATGAAATATGTTGCTGACCTCTGGAATTATTTTGGTATATTATTTCATTAATTATGGTTTATTAACTATCTTATATATAATATTATTAATTATTATTTAATAGATCTTGGAGCCTACTTGTTACCAGTCATCACTTCAATTCTATGGTTGTATCATGGTAGTTTACCAGCTATGGAATTGGTTTCATTGTCCAATCTGTTATTAGATCTGAAATTTATGTTGTTTTTAAGAGCATTTGCATATTTTGGAAGATATTTTGCAATTATTTTAGGAGTTGCTAGAAATGTTTTCTCATTTTTAATGATATTATTTATAATCATTTTAAGCTTTTCACATGCATTCTACATTTTATTGAAACCAATTCAGGAGGATTATAAATTTGACATACCTGATTTCATAGATAATGATCCCAATAATCCTTGGAATCTTGCTTCTAAATATTTTACATATTTTAAAAGTGACAAATCATATAACCAGAATTCAATTATTGTACAACAACCTGACAGCAACACTAACATGTTTGCACATTTTCATTCCTCAATGCTGGCAATGTATAATTTCCTTGCAGGTAAAATTCTATATTAATAAAATATCATTTTCAATGTTCACTAAAATATTGATTATATAATCAATTTTTTTAATAGGTAACAGTGGAGCATTTGGGTCTTGGCAGTTGCAAGATGATCCATATCTGGCAATATTATTTGTGACATTTTCATTTGTTGTTGTGATATATTTAATGAATTTATTCATTGGTCTTCTTAGCAATCAAATTGAAAAATATAACATAGATGAAGCATTTTGGCTCAAAAGGCAAAAATCATAAAAGAGATTGTATTATTTTATTTACTTCCTAATCAACGTCGTTGGAAAGAATGGTTTCCTGATATATTGTAATTATGCTTATTTTTTTGTTGTCTTTTTTTTTTGATAAATAATCATGAATAATTTAATTTGATAATTTGATAGACATTATCATGCACCAGTTGAAGATATTCGAAAAAGAATTAGAGAAATTGATAACAGTCAAGAAGATCCAGAATTTCTTCCATTTATCTCTGAGAAACTTAGAAAATTGACAGACATGCCCAAGCCAGATGAAAAAAACAAAATGGATCATGAAAATCTTAAAAATGATCTCAAGGAAAT